GTCACGAAGAAGCAACTGTTTTCAATACGGAGTCTCATTTAACTTCGTAATGGATAATTAATGCAGTGATCAACTCTTATTGATAAGCTTGTATGTTATTGATAAAGATCTTCATTGTTACCAACGTTTTGGCCCTTTCACTTTTCTTAGAGCTGAGATGATGCCAATCAAGTGATTTATTTTAGTGATTAGTATTTTTTCCGGTATGTCTTCGTTATCGCAGCGGGTAAATCCGCTTCATCGATGTCACTCAGGACTGCAGTTTTTATACAGGAAGATTATTGCCGTTCTGTATGAACCGGGTTAATCCAGAAGTCGAAACGGTTGGATTAACATCGGCTGTCATATGAAGATTTGAAACAATATCGTGCGAACTTACCAATAAGTCACGATTATCTTCTCGAGCTTCAGAGTATTAAATTCAAAAGATCGATACCTTTTCATAGGTTTTCACTGATACAAGTGTTCATTGCTTTTGATGATGGGAGTGCTTTTCAGGTATCTCGTCACCCTTCCACGTTTTCTGCACGTTGTTATCGCCATTCATTCGGCACCAACAACTGTCATAATGGCTGGGTCTACGGTTTCGTACTTGTTCATGATCCCATACACATTTTTTATTCTTTCTTTATTCAGGGAGTAGACCTCATTATTAAACGTCCCTAACGTCCATCCGTTCTGTTATCTAATAATCGAAATAGTGATAACTTCCATTTTAGATCAAACTAATTAGTTCATTTTTAATAATTTTCTCGTTATTATTGGTTTTTAGTGAAAACTACTCTCTTTTTGGTTAAAGTTGGTTGTTGCCGCTCAGAATTTTGTGAAAGAAGAAAGGATTCTTGGATAAACAAAAAGGAGCACTTCTGATACTCAAGTCCCTCACGAAGTTATGCGATGAAAAGATTAGTTAGTGGCACAAACAATTTGTAGGTGTTCATCATTTATTGTTGTAGTCCTAATGAATAAATCGGTGAAGAATTTGGGCAAAGTGGCATTGGCATAGTCGACTGCATTTTTCTACGTTCCGTAATCCAAGAATATCTTTGGCTTTAAGGTCTTATAAAAATCAAAGTTTTCCATCTAATTCGCTCGCTGACGACTCCATATTTTTGCTCCTCCTGTTATTCCTTTAACAATACGTTTTTACAAGTATAGATATACTGTGAAATGATCATTTCTTCGTATTTCTATCGGCTTGTTTGTGTGATTCGTTTCTTTGCTTTTGTTTTTAGGGTTTTAAATAAATCTTAACTGTTTCTATTAGAGCATCTAGTGGCATAGAGTGGCATCTAAAATTTCCCTGTGAATCATTATTTTCCTAATTAAGTGATAAGGAATTGAGCGTGCGGTGTGGATCAATCCGTGAAGGATGAATCCCGCGTTCGACCTCGTTAAAAATATCTATATCTGGTATATTTCGCCAATGGAATAACTTTCAGTGCTTTTCCAATGTAGTAAATTAAAACATTTTATTCTGCTTAACACTGATGTCAATTTAACTGCCCATAAAGCGTAGTGTGTTACTTCTGTCTGAGCTGCTGGGTCGAACCAACGACTACGTATTTCACTTCACTGCTTCACACACCGCAGTTTTCTGATGCGTTCCATAACTTGAGTCTGGCTTTTAATGTTCAGTGAAAACTTTACAAGTCAGAAAGTCTTGTGTTGTCTAAAAAATAATTTTTTTATCTGCAAATTCACACTCATATATTTTTGCTTAGGTTTCTGACGTATGTGGGTATTGTTGGAACATTTTCAGCTTCAGGCTTGGTGTTAAACGATTTCCCAAAGAATATCACTGGTCACAAGAGCTTTTCTGATGATCATCATGAGCTTTTCTGATGCAAATTTTGCTCAAAAAGACGCTACCTATCCCTGTCTTTGTATAAAGTTGTGCAACATGTCTGTTATTGAGCAGAATCGAATTTTCATCCAATATCCCACTACGAACTAGAAATGGTTTTTTTATTGGTTGTGCAGAAAACGTTGAATAAACCCACATGGATGTCCTAGATGTTCCAAACGTTTTTTTACTGAATAGATATGCTTCAAGTTCAGACTCTTCTAATTACTACCATCGTTGGAAGCAGGTCGCCCTGATTTTCAATTAAGAATTCAAGGCTTGAGGAGGCAAAATCACGTTTACTTTCGAGAAATCCATATTATTGTTTATAGGTCGCGGTCACTATTATGTATATGGATGTTAAGAAGAAGGTAGAAAGAAAGTGACTGACGAAAAAGTAGATTTCTAAACCATGCGTCTAGTTATAAACTACTTACTTTACACAGGAGTCCAAAACACCAGCGCGAAAACTCCTTGAGGCTTTTTGGATCAATGCCAAAAGCCCTACAATGAATAACAGGGATGAATGCCCGGAGATCATACGCGACCTGATCTCGTACGTTCGCATCGATTTTTGATGTGGGATGGTGCAGTCGTCAACCACATGCGACTATAATCAGCTGTTCTAAACTTCCTCATTGGAAGTCACGAAAAAGCGGTGGGTTTCTCGAGAAGTTGTTGATTGTGTAATTGCCGGAGAGTTCTTCGTCTTTTTGTAAGTGTTATTGAAGCGTTTGGCCTAGTAGATTGTATATCAGCATACCCTTCCAGGCTCCGAAGAAGGCGATACTGCCGAAACGTCAGCTAGCGTTGTATTGTATTGTGTTTTCTTTATGGAAGTAAATGTATGCTGTTTAAAAACCTCGCGATTGCTGAGCAAGAAAACGACACATTCATACTTACTTTACCTTTTCTTGCAAAAGATAACTTATTCAATCTTCATTTTTTAAATAGGCAGATAGAATGTTACATAGTACGTAAGATTGAAATAGTGAAGTGTATTATACCCTTTTATTTTCTGCCTACTATAATTTCGCGGCAGCGTACTAAGCGAAATACAACCACAACGTTGCTGAGATATTTGCACTCTGGACCGCAGGTGTCTATGGTGGGGAACGAACGCGCTAGTGTCCTTTCCGAGGAGTAACGCGTTCACCACCACACCATGCGGGTTCTTCGTTTCGCCTGTCTTTCAGCTATTTCTATTGATCTATGCCGCAGCAATCACCTGTCAGCGGGATTGATCTGGGGCGCCCAAATCGGCATAGAACCCAGTTAAGCTGCGGCTGTAGTTGAAATCACAATGTTATACCTTTTTATTTTCTGCCTACTATAATTTCGCGGCAGGGTACTAAGCGAAATACAACCACAACGTTACTGAGATATATAATCCCGCTGAGGGGTGATTGCTGTGGCAAAAGATCGATAGAAATAGCTGAGAGACAGGCGAAACAAAAGACCCCCATGGTGTGGTGGTGAACGCGTTACTCCCCGGAAAGGACAGTAGCGCGCGTTCGTTCCCCACCATAGACACCTGCGGTCCAGAGTTTTGCAAATATCTCAGCAATGTAGTAAAGTGTATGTTACACATAAACGGCTATTTGGAAATACCCTGGTGTCCTCCTTCAGTGATACCGCGTGATATCCCCGACAGGGATAACTTCTATGGCACGATCGTCACGTTTTCCGTGGTTTCCCGCGTGCAGAAGCCCAAAAAGAAAATTTTTCTTATGACAAACTATATTTCTTTTATCAAATAAAGTAGCTAAAGAGTTAAGCTCTCTTATCACCCCTATCATGCGACAAGGACACACAGGACACATACCCGCTCAGGTTACTTGATGGCTTTGATGGCTAACGGTCTGTAATGCAACAATGACATGTGGTGACATTGATTTTAAAATTTTATCTCAAATCAGTACTATTGCTTTTGTTAAGTATATAGCAATAGTCAATGAAGAAACACAAGATGGAAATCATTTGATCAATGTGAACCTTCTTACGGTAATATACGACATCGTCGTGGCATCATCAAATGGCCGTAATTAAAGGGCGCAAAGTAGTTTATGAGGGGATTGTGAATGATCGCTATCTATGAGACCAGTTCTATGAGGCTAAATCGCAAGCGATAGATTTTCTGGGCTTGGCACTCTAAAGTGATGATATCTTTAGAGTCATAAGTATGGGATATTAAGGAGCAAGCACTAGGGGAAGTCAGCGGTTTGAGTTATCAGGGTGGAGCACTAAAAATACGCGGTATGAACTTAGATGCTGCACTGAGTGTGCTGACCACCTTCGAGTGTGATAATTGGATATTAGAGGAGGGTAATGCATCTCTAAAAGACTATGTTTACTTGAATGCTTGAATGGTCGGCCTTCACGAGCTGTGAGAACTCGTGAGCACATTTTTCTTCTAATTGTTTAATCTAGTTTACTGCTTGCTATAAATCTTTTCCTGAACGAGGGTGCTCAAACTCCTCTGTATTTTTACCACTTCCCGACTGTGACTACTTTGTTTCCATAGTGGTACTTATTCCTGGTACTACTCTATTCTTAGCTTGGTTTCCAGATCGAAATGTCGAACTATTTATCAGCAAGGGAAACCCTACTTGGCTTTGATAGAAGTATAGAACTTGTTGCCAACTTGAGAAACTCTGGTCAGTTTTAATCCCACGCTCTATGGACTAGTACGCCATTAGAAGCCTCATGATGAGGCTTCAAGCCATTGGTAGGTTAGGGAATGCCGGTTTAAAACGTCTATCTAAAAATGGTAAGGTTATATGGAAAGCACTGATTGAAAGAAGAATGGGATGTACAGCTTCATGATTCGGTAATACTTTCGTCAAAATTCTGTATCAGTAAGATCTAAGCGTGTTCCATATTCTGTCCGTCCTCTTGCACATCATACTGCAATTTTTTTAAATACCACTTTTACTTTCAACGCATTATGTTTGAAAACTTTGGCGAAATAAGTAATATTATTAGCTAGCTATCTTACTGCTTGGACAATACAAACCTTTTAAAGATTAATCACATTAATGTAAACCACGTCTTGTGACCAAGCCATCCACAGTGTACGATCACAAAATATGATAGATCAGTCTAAAAAAACAATGAGAATCGTTGCTAAAAATACATTAATGCATTTAACAGTTTATAGTTGTCGATAGGCGTAGCACGAGACGTCGCCTTTCGTTTCCTGACAGAAGAGCTCAGTGTTCGTCACGTAGCTGAAGGAATAACTATTACAGACACTTCCTCTCTTTGTTTTTTTTACTGATTTGTCTGCTTAAAGAATAAAAAGGATAAAACTCTCAAGAGCAATATAGGTGCATAAATATTACTGTGCTCATTGATAAGGAGGGAATAAACACTGGTAGTGATGCCGATGACCATGAATACGGTGCTGGTTCGATCGCACTTTGGGCTCACCAAGCTTCTCATCGCTCCGGTGTCGGAAAATTGGTAGTGGAGTTATAATTCACTTTCTGCAATCCAAGTGGAAACGCTCTACCCCCGTTATCTTAGGGCTCCAGGGAGGTCGGTCTGACCACATTCAATAATATTCAAGATAAAAGGAACATCATCAGTCAGCAGCCGAAGCCACACTAAGAAGTTGTAGCACCTTCACGAGTGATCGATGCAAGTAAGCGAATCGAATCTGAGAAGTGTTGGCATCCCCACAGTAGATGTTAATGATCTTACCTACTTGAACACTTGAACGGCACGACTTCACTGATTGTGCGGGCCTCAGCATTGGACTCCCCACGTCAGCCTGGCCAAAGTCTGCTCCAGTTTGCTACCGCCACGGGCAGTCGCCGGATCAGAGAAAGGTTTACCTCCATGTGACTAATTTGATAGCAAGACGGTAGTGGATCGTGGTATTGGTTTACTCTTAGCACGACTTCTTAATAGAAACGGGAGACTCTTTCCCAGCTTGGGAGAACCTGCTGAAAGCGTGAATACCCCCGCTGTAAATCGCAGCCCGACACCCAGGAACACCTTGCAGCCACGATGAGCGGTAAACCGTTGGGAGGGATGCGAAGGATAGGTCTTATAAAATAAAATAAAATAAACAAATAAAGTATCCCAATAGTCCAATCATTGGATACCGCTTGCAGTTTTTTTGCTTCAACAGTATTCTTCCTAGTTTCGTCATCTTTTCTCTCAATAATTTAAAGTCTTGGGCGTCAAAATAAAGGCATGCCTGAAATCAGCATTGGCACAGATGACGTCGAATTGTCCACCAAACTGCGCTTCGGCGGCTAGTTGAATCAATCGTTTCGAATTGTTTAGATTGGCTTCGATATTCTAAAAGTTTTCCTTTGTCAGCTTGGTCACATTTTCTCCACTCTATTTTTTCGGATGCTATAAAAATAATGAAGACCGTAGGAAACAGCACATTCGCTGAGATTCATTCAGTAATTCTAACCAAGAGTTGTCAATAGTGGCATGAAAGTTCAGACTGCTTTCGGTTTTTGCTTCTTTACTACATTTTTGCAATGTCCACTGAATTTGGTGCAAAAATCAAAGGCAAACTGCCGGATATCTGGAGAACAACTGAGTAATTTGAAGATTGTTGCCGATACTTACGTCTAGCATGATTTTTCTGAGCTCTTCGGAATTGCATAGAGAGTCATCGGTGAGTTTGAGATTTGCGATGTCCACCACTGTACTTTGTAATGCCTCAGTGGTGGTAGTGCTGCTTGGAGCTTCCTGGAATTATCATGGAGATAAGTGTCCAAAGTCAAATTTCGTACAAGTGGATTAAGCCGGGCTTGTAAAGTAATGCTTCAATTGCAGATAAAGGTTTATCTGTGCTCGTGTCCAAAGCCGACTTTCATAAAAATAGAATCGATTGGAAACACTAACTTCTAACTCAGCAAATACATTGGGAATCTTATTTTTTTTATACGACCCGTCTTTCATGTCTGCTATGAGGATTTCTCCTCTTGTCGCAATGCAATCATTTCCTCGTATTCATCGCCCAAAAGTCGACTCTCCCTGGAGAATTGAGATAGCTGGTTTAGAGCGTGATTACATGAGTAAACGTCTCCCAGAAAAGTCTGGTACCACGAAGGAATGAGAAGCATGGCAATCCCGAGTTGATGTCGAACCAGTACCCGGTGACGGACATCGCTACTATGGAGTAAGAGAGCGCATCTTGATATGGAGAAAAATTTTAAAATATCTGTTCATTTGATATTATGAAGATCGGTGCCTTGCTCAAGCTTTTTTGCACTTACTGTAGATTCATTTAGAGCCTTATCCAAGGCTCCTTCTTCTTCTTCAATCACTTCTTCTATCCTTCGCCCGGCAGCCGAGGCCACTTCCTGCTGGAGGTTCTTGAAAAGGGAAAATTTTCAGCTGTTTGTAACATTTATTGTGAACTTCTTAAATTTTTAACCTCAAAAGCAGTAATCTTTTATAGAACTGATGCAGTTTAAGTTCGCAGTATTTCATTAAACTTTTCTACTTTTAAACTATTATTGATAATATTTATCATTCCTTACTCTCTACAATTCCCTCTCTCTCTACACTCTCTACACTCTCTACTCTCTCTATAATTTACGCTACCTCTTATCGAATTTTGTCAGTTCTCTTTTTGATTTTACTTACTATTTCTTACTTTTTAACTTTTACTTTAACTATTTCTTTTCCTCATCGATATCTGGTTCCAAATTGTTTTTCCACCCAGAAATAATTTTCTTTCACTATCGAACCACACAAAAAATTTAAAACATTAATCTCACATATTGCGGCTGTTGCTGCTCAGTGTAGTGCTGATCAACACCTGATGGCTCTTCCTGAAATGAAAAAGACTCAACTAGTGCGATCCGTATTGCAATTTTAGCATAATACTTTTTAAGACACAAAATAGCTTATAGCGCAGTGGTTAGAAGTGCATCGAAATATACACGCCGTCATTATTTCTATTCCGCAGCCCGTGCTAACCGAGCCCTACATCCAACCAGGGTCGGCATGGATATGTCAGAAAGAAGAGCATTATTTTGATACATTGATGCCGCCGTAAGCCACTGTATAGGCAAAATACGCACTCATCTCTACGGTGCTACGATTGGAGACGAATGCATGGCTCCTCGCCATGGAATTAAACCGTGCCAAGCGTGCTTCATCCCTTGCCAATAACTTTATTAATTATTCCCATAATAAATATTGTTGGCGATACGCCTAATCTATAACAGGGATGAAGATATCAGGTGAATCCGATCAATCCTGGTTTGAGTATTCACCCTCTTTCCTTTTTCTGCTAGATGTTTGCATGAGTTGCTAAATTTACTCTGAAACTAACGTGTGTCAATAAATATTTCTTTACATTTACCTGATGAGCAGGCTTCACTTCTTGAACTGGTGGATGCGGCGGTTGAGGTGGTATCTAAAATAAGGAATAGATGAGTCTTATCTTTTGTCGAATTTCCTTGACGTTTCCGAAAACATGACGTCATGAAAAAACATTCATATCGTGTACCTGCTCATAGTTCTGAACGGGAAGTTGTCCTACTGGCCCCGCTGGTAGGTCGACGTGGTTACCATTTGGTAGTGCGAGAAAATGTTGAGCCTATAGTGATACAACCACAAGATTCCTGAGATAATTGCAAAACTCCGGACCGCAGGTGTCCGCGGTGGGGAACGAACGAGGTATTGCTTTTCCGGGGAGTAAAGAGTTCACCACTACACCATGCGGGTCCTTCGTTTCGCTTGTCTCTCAGCTAGTTCTATCGATCTGTGCCGTCAGCAATCACCCGTCAACGGGATTGATTTGGGGAGCCCACATCGGCATTGAACCCAGTTAAGCTGAGGCTATAGTTGAAACGAAGGACCCGCATGGTGTGGTGGTGAACGCGTTCCTCCCCGGAAAGGACAATAGCCGGTTCGTTTCCCGCCGCAGACAACAGTGGTCCGGAGTTTTGCAAATATCTCAGCAATGTGTCGTTTTCTTGTTCAGCAATCGCGAGGTTTTTAAACAGCATACATTTACTTCCATAAAAAACACAATACAATA